GCACTGACCACCAGGGGGCAGACGCTTAATGCAGGAGCTGCCCCCAGCCTGCAGGCCCCAAGCCAGCCAAGGTGGGTGCCATCAGGGGCCCCCTGATCACCCTGCTGGTTGCCCCACAGATTGGCCCTGATCACCAGCCAGGCCTAGGGACCGCACCCTACCCCGTGCATGAACTTCTTGCACCAGGCCTCTAGTTATATATATAGCACTGTGTGCCTTTCTTCTCAGCCCTTACCAGTGCCTATTAAAGCACTGGACATAGGAAATGTCAAACAATTATTTTTCAAATCAATCCTTGTCCTGGGGGCTTTGACTTGACAAAAAGAACAATATCTTGCTGCCCACCTTAAATCTTGCTTCAGCTGTCACCTGCATACTTCTTTTTGCCAAGAAAAAAGTCAACAGCCCCAAATCCCTATTTCTGTTCTAAATTAATGTCCATACTGCAGATCTGATAACAGAGTACATGAGATAATATTGCACATCTCTCTCTGCTACAGATTTTAGGCCAGAATGCGCACAATAAATTTGGTTATCTAAAACTTAAATCTCTCTCAGATTATGGACAGATTCTGTGATAAATGTGTTGAATGACAAATAAGTATCTCCTTTAAAATTAATCACTCCTATCTCTGTGTTTTATATATGTACTCTGATCAGAAAATTGTACTTTTCACATTGTTCTATCATTATTTGTTGACTTTTTGCACTCACTGAATATACCTACATGTATACTTGCTCATCAAAAATAGTGACTCTATGTTATTTGTCTTAGTAAACTCAGTCCACAATTTGTATTTGGTAAGCATTTAATACTTCTTTTTAGTATAACTGATTTAGTCCCCTTAAGCTTTAATAAATCCTTGAGATAAATCTTTCTTAAGTAGTATTTCTCAGAATATTCTGAGTTACCCCTTTTATCATTATTACTATTGCCAATAATAAGAATGAAAATAGCTGACATTTATTAGGCACTTATTCTATATCAGACCTGCAAGGCAAATTATATGCACTTGATACTCATAATAATCCTATGAAATAGGTAACAGTCTTATCTTATTTTACAGGTTAGGTGACTTAGACATAAAGAGGTTAAGTAATTTGCCCAAGGACACACAGAGTGGTGAGCCTAAGATCTGAAACAGGGCAGTCTAATTGCAAAGCCACAATCACTAACTACACTATACGGTCTCCCATCCCTTAAAAAAAAAAAAAATCCACAGCCGTAGGTTTACACTTTGGATGTAATCAAACATGTTCCTACTGGATGCAAACCTCCTGCAGCTAACTAATATAAGTTCCGTGCAAAATACAAAAAGGAAGGAAAGAAGGAAGGAAGGAAAGAAGGGAGGGAGGGAGGGAGGGAAGAAGGAAAATAGAAAGAAAGGAGGGAGGGAAGGAGGGAGGAAGGGAGGGGAGGAGAGAGGGAACAAAAAGAAGGGGGGGAGGACCCTGAAGTTTCTGTAAAGTAAACAAAAGCCTGAAAAATCCTGAGGGAATCTACACTTGGGAGAAGAGATCTTCATTTTTACAACTTCCAGCAAAGAACAAACTAAAATCAACCCTTCACGAGGCAGCTAACTCCAATAGAAAACCTCCAGTCTCTCTGGTTTAAAGAACAAATGGAATGTTCAGGGCAACTACAGATGCTGGACAACGAAGGGCAAAACCCCATCAAGGAGAGAGGCTAAGAGGGGGCACCCCAAATTCTCTACATAAACTCTGCCCAAGTCCCTGGCCGATCCTTGAGCCATGTATGCACAGCGAAGACTCAAAGCAGCCGAGCTAAAGGTAAAACAGCTGAACTGAGATTTGAACTGCTACCCAAGAGATAGGAATGACACTTTGATTCCAACCAAGGTAATTACCAGCTAAAACAAAAACCTCAACACTCTTTGGAGGAAGATAACAGAATTCAGAGCCTCTACAGAATTACATTCACAATGCTGAGGTAAACTCAAAATTCCTCAACATGTAAAGGTCCAGAAAAGTATTACTTGGGGGGGGGGGGGGGGGGAAACGGACAAAGGAAAGTAACATCTGAGATGACCCAGAGGTTTGAATTAGCAGACAATGATTTGAAAGTAACTCTTATAACTATGCTAAGCCAACTATTACTGTTTTCCTTGGCCCAGAATGTTCTAGGAAAACATGTTTCCATGAATGAAAAGACAGTTAATCTCAACAGAAAAATAGAAACTTTATAAAGGACCAAATGGAAATTATAGAACTGAAAAGTACATCATTTGAAATTTTTAAAAGGAATAAGGTAGAACTTTATGCCCCAGAGGAATGTGGAGAAAAGGGAACCCTCGTGCACTGCTGGTGGGAATGCAGACTGGTGCAGCCACTGGGCAGAACAGTATGGAGTTTCCTCAAAAAAATTAAATATGGAACTGTCATTTGACCCAGTGATCCCACTTCTAGGAATAAATCCCATGAAATCAGAAACACCAATCAGAAAGAATATATGCACCCCTATGTTCATAGCAGCACAATTTACAATAGCTAAGATCTGTAAACAGCCCAAGTGCCTATCAGCAGATGAGTGGATAAAAAAGCTGTGGTACATTTTACTACTCAGTTGTAATAAAAAAGAACTTTTACCTTTTACAACAGCATGGATGGACCTGGCTTATTTCATTTATTATACACTAAGCGAAATAAACCAGTCAGAGAAAGATAAGTATCACATGATCTCACTCATATGTGGAATCTAATGAACAAAATAAACTGATGAACAAAATAGATCCAGCGACACAGAAACATGGAACAGAGTGCAGAATCTCAGAGGGAAGGTGGGGGTATGGGTCCGGGAGGGGATTAACTAGGAAACTTGTATGCATATATGCATAGCTCATGGACACAATAGAGTGGTGAAGGCCTGGGAGGGCCAGGGTGGGTGCAGGATAGAGGGGGTCAGTGGAGAAAAAAAAAGTTGTAATACTTTAAATAAAGATAAATTTTAAAAAGAAAAGGGAAATTTGGACACAGACATGCAGAGAGAGAGAATGATGTCGTGATGATGGCAAAGATTGGGGTGCCACAACTATAACCCAAGGAACATCAAAATTTGCCAGCAAAACACCAAAATCTAGGAGGGAGCCACATTACAGATTCTCCCTTGCAGTTCTCTGAAAGAGCCACCCTGTTAGACCTTGATCTTGTATTTCTAGCCTCTAGAACTGTGAGACAATAAATTTCTTTCTTTTTTTTTTTGGTACTTTGTTACACCAGCCCTACAAAATGAATACATTGTGTGAATGAACCACTTTAAAAGCAGATAGATCATCCAATCCCAACCAGGCTTTCCGATGACTGCAGCCCTGACCATTATCTTGACTGCCACTTCTTGGGACACCCTGAGCCAAAACCACCAGCCAAGCTGCTCCTGAATTCCCAACCCACGAAAACTGTGAGATTAATGTTTGATGTTTTAACTTCTGTTAAGGACTTAATGTGTCCCCCAAAATTCATATGCTGAAGTCCTAACCCCACAGTGACTATATTTGGAAATAGAGCTTTGAAGAAGGTAATTATGGTTAAATGAGGCTGTTAGATGGCGGCTAATCCAACATGGCTGGTATCATAAAAAAAGAGGAAGACATAGCAAAGATACGTGCTCACACAGAGAAAAGACCACTGAGGACACAGTGAAAAGGTGGCTATCTGCAAGCCAAGGAGAGAGGCCTCAGAAGAAACCAGACCTGCCAACATCGTGATCTTAGACTTCCAGCCTCCAGAACTGTGAGAAAATTAATTTATGTTGTTTGTCACTCAGCCTATGGTGTTTGGTATATGTGACATAACTAAAGACACAACCTGCCTTAAAAACTGTCACATAGTTTCTCTAGCCAATAGCATGCGGAGGCTGAGTCCTTAAGTTCTGTTAAAAGCATTGTTACTACTCCTCATAACAGCTAATACTCACGGAGTGCTTTTACAGTGTGCCAGCCACCATGCTAATAGGTTTAATATGGGTTATCTCATTTAATCCTGCTAATAGCCCTGTGAGAAAACTGATGCACAGAAAGATTAAGTAAGTTGGCCAAAGACATCCAGCTGGTAAGCCATCAAGTGGGATTTAAACTACTCTCTGAATCCAGAACCCTACTGCCTCTTGGGTTTCTAGCAGCTTTACTAAAGCTATTCCCTTGTTACCCAGCTGCTGGCATAAAGATTTCGCCGGTTACCTCATCTTTCTGTTGCAATGACCTAGATAAGTACAGTTAGCTAGGTCTTCTCTGGACCAATCTACAGTATTTACCTCTAGAAGGCAGCCCTGTGGCAGTGTCATTGCTCATCCAGGAAGTAATCAAAGTTTACTGAATGAATGAATCCAGTTTTCAATTTGTTTGTGTGTGTGTGTGTTTAAAAAAGTAAATGACTTTTTTAATACCCATTGAAGAATACGAGAGATTGTCTCAAAATCATTTCACATGTACTCACATGGAAACCCTGTGCATTCCATGTCGGTGGCTCAGGAAGGAGAAATCCCGGAGAAAATCGGGTGGCGAGGAGAGAGGTGGAAGGCAGTGAGGATTATTCTGTAAGAAAGGAGGGTGAGATGCTTGACTCAACTAGATGAATCTCTTTGGACATACGCATCTAACCTAAGGCCATATGAATGGTCAAAAACCCAAGGGGGAGAAACACTCTAAAACTTGAGGAGACCCTCTGATTCTTCCAACGTTTTTGTCAACATTCCACCCTCTCCCTAAAATGCTCAGCTCTTGGAAAAAGTGACACTGGCAATCATCTGCTCCCCGTTGCCTTCCCAGAATAGTGCCTATAGTTGTGTTTTGTTTTTGTTTTATAAGGACAGTATTTCACACAACTGTGGTCTGAGGGTAAAATGCACTGTCTGCGTGGCCACAGACCAGCCAGGTAACCACCAGCCAGAAAAGCGCCCGGCTGAAAGCAGTTCGGGAGCCGCTGCAATGGACCACAGCAGCCGCCAGGTGGTACTCACGATCAGGATCGTGGGGGACTTCCGGCCCCGCTCCGGGGACCCCTCCCGCAGGACGCCAGCCGGTTGCGTTTGCCTGCTGGGACGCTTCCTAGCAGCGATTCCCAGCCGCAAGGTCAGGAGTCGTACTCGCTTTGAATCGATTCAGGCACCGGCCCAGGTCTGCGGGTGCCTCGCAGCGGGCCCTCGCCCCCAAGGCCCGTGCCCCGGGGGCCGTGACCCAGGCGGGGCGGTGCACGCGGCCCGCCCGCTATAGGCTGCGGCGCGGGGCGGGAGGGGGCGCGGCCTCGGCCAATGCTGCGGCCGCAGCACGTGGGGTGCGGGATCGCGAGAGCCAGTGGACCGATCCTCCGCAGGTGGACTTTGCTAATCTTGCCTCGCGCCCCAGGCCCGAGCAGAACCCGGGCTCGCGGTGCCGCCTGGATCCAGCCCGGAGTTTCGGAGGCGCTCTGCCGGCACTGCGCTCGAGGACCCGGGCTAAGCCTGGGGGCCGGCCACAGTGTCTTTTCAAGATTGAAGGGGCAGCCCTGGACGCGGCTGTTCGGTTGTAGTCTGCAGCCACTGAGGAAGGCGCCTGGTGCTTGGGGATCGGAGACATGAATTACGCACGGTTCATCACCGCGAGGAGCGCAGCCCGACGGCCTTCTCCCATCCGCGTCTTTAGTGAGTGCTGGGGCAGCGTCCCTCCCCCCGGGGTGCGGGTGGTGCCAACAGTCACCACTTGGTTGCATTCATTCAACCGGGAAAGCTCACTGTGAGCCAGGCTCTGAGTGCAGACATGACTGGAGTTAGAACTGAAGGCGGGGAGGGAGCAGCAGCAGCGAGAACTGGCTGTTGTGGGACTTGGCCTTGTGAAAGAAAGGATGTGCTGTCTAAAAAGGCTCTTTCCGGGACCTAAAGAGGGATTAGACACAGTGTGCAGCCGCGTGCAGAGTGGGGAAGACCTGGTAAATTGGAGAGAAAAGGGGAAGCCACGAAGCTAGACAGACAGGTGGGGGCTAAATGGAGCAGGGTTTTCTGGTATTGTGGCTCTTCGCTTAACTAGATGATCCTGATCACTCTGCCTTCTTAGTTGGACACCTCCACTCCTCAGCTCCGCCACCGGTGAAGTAGGTCCCGACAACGTTATTTTATGACTATGTTAGATTAGCATCCTATCACTAGAAATTGTTTAACTTGGCAGTGTTATTGAGTGTAATGCAACATACAGAACTAGGAATGTTTTCCGTGAAAGTTTTTCTTCTCTCCCATGTTCATTGTAGCTGAGCTACAGAACAGGGCACCGAAATCTGTCATCTCCTTGGCTACTGGATCACCAAATCCAAACACGTTCCCTTTTAAGACTGCTGCTATCACCATAGACAATGGGAAGACCATCCAGTTTGATGAACAGATCATGAAGAGAGCCCTTCAGTATTCTGAAAGTGCTGGGTAACTATAGATAATACAATTCTGCTGGCTCATTTTCATGAGCAATATTCTAAAGGCCACTGATAAAGTGACTTGTGTCTTTTTTCATAACTGGAGTATTCAAGAGTTAGGAAGGTTTGGAGAAGAGTTTTCAAAGAAGAATGAAAAGCAACAGGATATTGAATGCTCCTTGGTGACTTCTCACCAGAGAGAGAGAGAGAGAGAGAATGTGTGTGTGTGAAGAAGCAAGTTAGAAGAAGGGAGGAAAAGGATGATCCAGGAAGCAGCAATTTTAAATGCTGGGCAATTTTCTAAGAAGTTTGTTCCCTTCCCAGCTATGCAAATACATTGCCCTCAGTTCAAATGTCTTTCATTCTTAAAGGCAAGCTACAACACATTCTTTAAGATTTTCCTTAGCTGATCCTATAATGATAATTTATAGAGATCCTGTGATGGAAAACTATATTGAGTTGTAATAAAGGTTTTATACAGAGTATCCCCCCAAAATGTATACATACTTTAACAATCTGATAGCTCAATTTTGAAAATGAAATGTATTTTAATGAACACTGCCTTTATAATTATTCAAAGTGTGTGTATGCATTTTTGGGGACGCCATATACATATGAATTACTAGGGGTCCCTCTGCCTGGCATGCACCCTCTTGCAACCTGGGACCCCTCGGGGGATGTCGGATAGCAGGTTTCGGCCCGATCCCCTCAGGCCTGATCCAGACAAAAGGGAGCCGATCCAGTGTGTTAAGCATCTGTCCCCTGGTGGTCAGTGCGCATCATAGCGACCAGTCGTTTGGTCATTTGGTCGCTTAGGCTTTTATATAGATAGACTAGAGGCCCTGAGTGCACAAATTTCGTGCACTCAGGGAGGGGGCGGTCCCTTAGCCTGGCCTGCGCACTCTCACAGTCTGGGAGCCCTCAGGGGATGTCCGACTGACAGCTTAGGCTCCTGGCAGTCGGATTTCCTTAGCACTGCCACAGAGGCGGGAGAGGCTTCTGCCACTGCTGCTGCGTTCGCCAGCGGTGTGCCCACTCAGGGCTTCTGGCTGAGCGATGCTCCCCCTGTGGGAGTGCACTGACTACCAGGGGACAGCTCCTGTGTTGAGTGTCTGCCCCCTGGTGGTCAGTGCACGTCATAGCAACTGGTCATTCCTCTGTTTGGTTGATTTGCATACTGGCCATTTATTATATAGGATAGATATGTATTATATACATAGGCCTTCCCTTCCATGATACAAAGAACTTCGGGGGCCTGAATTTCTAGGTAGCTTATGGAAATTTTCCTGAGTAGAACAAAGAATCAATTATTAAGTGTTTGTTCTATTGTAAAATAAAAACTATAGGTTTTTAGACTAAGAAAGATGTAGATTCAAATATCAGCTGACTGACTTTATGTGAATTTTTTAATCTCTACATCTGTTGCCTTATCTTTGAAATAGGGAATATTAATATTGGCAAAAAGTGTTTGAGGATTTTGAAATTGAATGTATAAAGTACCTAGTATATGGCTACCATTTAATTCCTCTCTACTAATATTATGACATTTACTTCTATAAATTTAAAAATATATTTTATGCTTTAGAATCCCAGAGCTGTTGTCCTGGCTAAAACAGTTACAAGTAAAATTGCATAATCCTCCCACCCTCCATTATCCATCCAGTCAAGGACAAATGGATATATGTGTCACAACTGGCAGCCAAGAAGGTCTTTGTAAGGTAAGTCTGAAAGGTACCACACATTAAAAATCAAGTATTTCCATAAATGCAGTCATCTCTCACTGACAAGCAAGAGGATCATGTTTTGTGAATTTCTGGTAGTCTTCTTGTCTTTACTTAGAATTATAAACAAGGAACTTAAAGACATCCACCAACCTGATTTTTCTTACACCTAGAACATGTGGTCACTGACTGAGAGCTATGAGTCATTCAAACAGGTTCCCACCTAAAGAAGTACTCAACTCCTACCAAAACCATTAGTGATCATTGCTTAATTTTACCTGGCTCAAAGATTTGGGTTACATTTTGTTCTATGTTATTTTAGTTATGAGATTTCAATATAATTTTTAAATTCTTTAGAGGGCATATCCTGATACTCCTCAGGTGAAATGTGATGCCTTTGCATGTCTGCTTACATAAATTATCTGTGCTCACCACTGCTTGTATCTTGTCTTCCTCCTGGCTGTGCTTCTCTAGCTCTATAGGGTGTCCCCCCAAATATGTGTACAACACACCTTGAATAATTATAAAGGCAGTGTTTATCAGACAGCCAGCATGGCTCAGTGGTTCAGCATTGACCTATGAACCAGAAGGTCACAGTTCAATTCCCAGTCAAGGCACATGCGTGGGGTTGCAGGCTCAATCTCCAGTGTGGGGCATGCAGGAGGCAACCAATCAATAATTCTTTCTCATCCTTGATGTTTCTATCTCTTTCTCCCTTTCCCTTCCTCTCTGAAATCAATAAAAAAGTTATATTTCTTTAAAAAAAAAAAAAAGAGATGTAAGTTGTTAACATGATAGAAAGGAGAGGCTTGAACCGGGGATTGTGAACAATACAAGGCAAGAAAGGATTATTCCATGATTTATGTAAGATTTAGTCATAATAGACCCCTTTGGTTAAGCTGGAAAGATCTATCGTCTGGCTCTATTGATGTCAGTATGCATCATACTGACGGCAAAACCTCCTAAGATTTCTCAACCTTTGTCTTACTGGACCTCTAAATATCCTTGAACACTGTTGACCTCCCATCGTTTTGAACTGCTCTCCTCCTCTAGTGCTCTCAGCACCACATGGAACAGCTCTCTGCCGGCCCACTGCCTGCCTCCGTGGCAGTGGTCTCTACACAGCCATTATTTATTGGAGCTCCTCAAGGCTCAGCCCTGGAACCTCTGCTCCCCTTCATCTGTTCACCATCTCTTGGTGCTTCCATTCACACCCATGTGATCAATCAGGTGCTAGTAACTTCCACGCTCCTTTCAAGTCCATTTGTGTATCTGTCCATCTGACATCATCACGAGATGTTTTGAAGACACCTCAAACCAAAACACACTCCTCAGACATGGACAACTTTTGGGGTCTGCTTTTCAGTGAATGGCACCACCCCCACCAACTATCTAGTTCCATTGCCAAAAATCTAGGAGTCATTCTTGACACCTCCTCTTCCTTGTGTCCCTGTAGTCCATAATTATGTTCGGTTGGTTTTGACTTCCAAAATACCTCTCAGTTCTCCTCTCCAAATCCACTGCCGTTACCCTAGTTCAGACTACTCTTCTCTGTCCCAAATAATCACAAAACCTTCCCAAACTCTCTATCTGTATTCCATTCCTCTTTAATCCTTTTATATTACAGCCAGAATGATCTTCTCAAAAAGCAGATCTGACCATGTGATTCCCCCTTTCCACACTCTACTTAAAATTCTTACTGGCCTCACTTGGCCTAGCGCCTGCATGGTGTGGGTTCTGCCCACTTTTGTCTCATCTCATTCCGTTCTCTTTACATTCTGCTTCATGCCACAGAATTCTTTCAGTTTCTCAAAATGTACTTATTGTTACCCCTACCCCAACTCATCACTTCCTCAGGGAAACCGTTTCTGAACACCCTGGGTTTCCTCAATGCCCAAGAGCTCCTACAATGAGCTTTTATAACATTGCACACCTGTACTTAATAGCATTCATCACTTTTAAATATACATTTATTTGAGTCATTATTTAACTAGTGTCTAGCTTTCCCGGACTAGTACCTCTATGACAGTAAAAACTATGTCATTATGTTCATCATTCTATCATCATACCTTATACAAGACTGGCTTATGGTAAATATTAATACATTTTCAAAGAAGGAATAAAAGGATAAAATGAATTTTGGGAGCCAAACCAGTTGTTATTTTTCATCTAAACCTAGAACAGAGGTTGGCTACTATGGCTTGAGAGGCAAATCCAGCCTTCATCTGATTTTGTAAATAGGGTTTTATTGCAACGTAGCCACACTCACTGGTTTACATATTGTCTGTGGCTCTTCCTCACTACGGAGACAGAGATAAGTGGTTACCATAGTGTCTCTCACTACAGAGACAGAGATAAGTGGTTACTATGGTCCACAAAATATGTACTCTCTGACACTTTACAGAATATTTGCCAACTCCTACTCTATAATCCTAATGAGTTAAATCTAAAATGGGGGGGGGGGGGGGGGAGGGCTCTAAGAATGGAAACAATACTATGCAAGCCAACCTATTCTTCTTTTGTTAGGTGTTTGAAATGATCGTTAATCGTGGAGATAATATCCTCCTAAATGAACCTGTTTATTCAGGAACACTTCAAGCTGTGAGTATACATTTCTACAAAAGGCAGCTCTCTTTCTTATACTAAATAGGAAAAACACCATTGCATCATTAGAATGACCTGGCCACTGAAAAATAAAATAATGTCTTTCAACTGTAAACAGGAGAATCGTAAATGACATATGCAAGCTATATTAACTATTTAAATATACCCTCCACTGTATATATTGCCTCTTACCACATTTAAAGGAATACATGCTTAAATTAGGCTGTACAAAATCATGTCCAGTTTTCTTAATATTTCACTTTGAAATGTGATTTAATTTACAAATACTTATTTTTTCATTACCATCTTGAATTGCCATATGCCAAAGTATAATCATGTTATATGTCAGTTTATTATAACTGTAAACTAATATAGTATAATTAAGACTTTCCACTCCAGTGATAAATTAATGGGATTGCAATAACCAGAAAGAGGAGCTGACCATCTGGCTCTGCTGTGCACTGGTCAGAACACACTGCTGAGAATTAGGTTCGTTTGGGGCACAATTCCTTAGTATAGATATGTTCACAAACTAGAGCAGTCAGAGAAGAGTAGTCAGAGTGAAGAGGGAACTGGAAACTATACCGTATGATGAGTGGTTTTAGGAACTGTGGTTGTTTTCCCCCAAAACAGAAGACTCAACAAACATGAGAATTATCCTCAAATACATAGAAGTTAGCCATGTGACAGAAGAATTAGATTTGCTTGTGCATGTCCTTAAGTTGGGAAAGGCTGGAAACTACAGGGAAACAACTTCAACTCAGGATAGCAACTTTCTAACCATCAGCCTTCCCTGACTCCCTGGGCCTTCCCTGACAGCCCTACCTGACTGCCCAGCACTGCGGGTGCTCAGTTACCCTTGACTGCCACTGAACACAAATGTTGCAAAAGTAATTCTAGCCTAAAATAGGGGAGTTGAAGGAGATGACTTTTATGCTCTATTGATTCATATTTCATTGGTTCTCTCTTTTACTCAAATTTAATATTATCTTTACAAAAATAAATATATAAAGCAGTTAGCTAGTCTTAATGAAAGGCATATTTTCTCAACATTCCTAAGTAGAAATCAAATTGATATTATAGCCCTAGCTGGTTTGGCTTGGTGGGTAGAACGTCAGCCTGTGGACTGAAGGGTCACGGGTTGGATTCCGGTTAAGAGCACATATCTCAGTTGTAGGCTTGATCCCCAGCCAGGGTGCATGTGGAAGGCAAACTCTGTCATATAAGCGTTACTCTCTGTCTCTTCCCTGCCTTTTCCATCCCTCTAAAAAATCAATGGAAAAATATCTTCAGGTGAGGATTAACAAATAATAATAATAACTGATTTTATAAAAATTTCTTTTTCCAGTGAACAATCTGAAAAGAAAATTTAAATACATTTTACATTTATAATAACATCCAAAAGAATAAAATGCATAACCTATTTATGGGTTGGAAGACTTAATATTGTTAAGATGCCAAAACTGCCAAAGTGATCTACAGATTCAACACAATCCCTATCAAAATGCTAATAGCCTTTTTGTAGATATAGGAAAGCCAATCCTCAAATTCACATGGGATTGGAAGAGGCCATAAGAATCCTGAAAAAGGAAAACATAGTTGGGGGCTTCACCCTTCCCCATTTCAAAACCGACTGCAAAGCTTCAATAATCAAAACAGTATGGTACTGGTGTAAGGATAGACAAATATTTCAATGGAGTAGAATTGAGAACCCATAAGTAAACCCATACATCTGTGGCCAATTGATTTTGACAAAGGTACCAAGTCCATTAAATAAGAAAAGAAGTCTCCAACAAATTGTAATGGGACAACTGGATTTCCACATGCACAAGAAAGAAATTGGACCCTTACCTCACACCACATAAAATTTTAACTCAAAATGGATCAAAGACCTAAATGTAAGAGCTAAAACTATGAACTCTTAGAAGAAAACATAAGGGCAAATCTTGACCTTGAATCTGGCACTAAATTCTTAGATATGACAATAAAAACACAAGCAACAATAAAAATAAATAGATAATTGGGCTTCATAAAAAAATTAAGACTTTGAAGCATCAAAGGACATTATGAATAAAGCAAAAAGACAGCCTAAAGAATGGGAGAAAATATTTGCAAATCATATATCTGATAAGGGCTTATTATGCAGAATATATACTAGTAAAGACCTCCTATAACTCAACAACAAAAGACAAATGAATTTAAAAATAGACAAAAGACTTGAATAGACATTTTTCCCAAAGAATATATACCAATGGTCAGGAAGCACATGAAAAAATATTCAATATCATTAGTCATTAGAGAAATGAAAATCAAAACCACAAAACGATACTATTGCACACCACGATGGCTTTTATTTTTGAGTGGAACATAGTAAGTATTGGTAAATATGTGGAGAAATTGAAATCCTTGTACATCGTTAGTGAAAATGTAAAATGGTGCAGCCACTGTGTAAAACAATTTTTCAGAGAACCACAAGCTGGATTTTGAAGCTTCTGCTTGGAAGGAACACACATCACTTCTACCCACAATTTATTGGCCAGAGCAAGACACACGGCCAAGCCTGAGCAAGGAAGTAGGATCCTTCCTCTGGAAATTGACAGGGGATATTGTTGAACAATAACGGAATCTGGCCCTGGGCAACAATAGAATTAGAATGTACAACCTAAACCCTCGGGCGGTAGAGCTGACTGCAGGTTATATGTTCAAGGGCATAAAGGGTAACATTCTTAGTTATTATAAGAAGAATCAATGACACATTTTGTAATCAGGTCTGAATCTTGGGCTTTCTTTTTTTCTATGTGCTCAACAGCTGCAACCACTGGGCTGCAACATGATTAACATTGCCAGTGATGAATATGGGATTATTCCAGACTCCCTCAAAGAAATACTTTCCAAATGGAAACCAGAAGATTCAAAGAACCCCGAGAAAAACACCCCCAAATTTCTTTATACTGTCCCAAATGGCGACAACCCTACTGGAAAGTCATTAACAAGTAACCGCAAAAAGGAAATCTATGAGGTATTTTCAAAGAATGTGTTATGTGGCTATGTTCCTGTTTCTTTTTGACCTTTTAGAAGAGCGCTGTGCAAGTTTCCTTTCTTATTAGCCTCTTGCTTTCAAGGGAGATAATTTTTAATAAGAGGGAGTCATCTATGCCAAGAATCCTAATAAATTTAAACACAAGAATTTACTACAGCCTTTGTTAATGCTAAGATTTTTCTTTCCCTTTGATATTTTCGTAAAAAGAAATAGCATTCTTGGTCTGATGTTAAATTCTATGAGGTCATTTGGTATTTGACTCCAATATTTGATTTTCATTATTTTATATATTTGTATTTCCAACTTGTCTCTTTTCTTTCTTGCTCATTGTCACTTCAGTTTACAAAGAAATTCTTTGAAAAATAAGAGGCATGTGCCTTTTGTAAAGTCTATTTTAGGGACCTGACAACAATGCCTAAGTTCTTCACCATAAACATTTTTTTTTTGAAGTATCAAGCAAATATGCAGCTATGCAGGAATCTTTGAAAAATAAGAGAAACATGCTTTTCTGTAAAGTCTTTTTTATGCCTATTGCCTAGACCAGTGGTTCTCAACCTTCCTAGTTCCTCATGTTGTGGTGACCCCCAACCATAAAATTATTTTCGTTGCTACTTCATAACTGTAATTTGGCTACTGTTAATAATCGTAATGTAAATATCTGATATGCAGAATGTATTCTCATTGTTACAAATTGAACATAATTAAAGCATAGTGATTAATCACGAAAACAGTATGTAATTATATATGTGTTTTCTGATGGTTTTAGGTGACCCCTGTGAAAGGGTCGTTCGACCCCTCAAAGGGGTCGTGACCCACAGGTTGAGAACCGCTGGCCTAGACAATGGCTAGGTGGACATTAAACGGAGTGATGTTTGAGAGAGAGAGCATAGACACTGACTATGATCCCGACCCTTGCACATGAATAGTTTTTCAAAATAAGTACCAAGCCTATGTTAAAGTAATATAGAAATTAATCATATAATGGAATCATAAGAGATACTTCAAAAAATTCCTTTTACTGAGTGTGTGTGTATACTGCCATATTCTTATTTTTCACACTCCTGGCTCCATCGCTCATCCAGTTCTGTGCCTGTAAATTGCATTCTATGATGGAGATGCCTGAACTCCAGACTTCTCTATCCAACTTCTGTATCCAGCATCCCATGTAAATGTCTAATGGGCATTTCAAACCTAACATAGTCACACAGAGCTCTTGATTTTGGCCAGCCACACCCCAAACTTCTCATTCACAACCCCTCCCATTCTTCATCTCCATACACTGTGCCAGCATGATTCATTACCTTTTATTCCTCTCTATCCCTGTCTCCTCCCCAACCCACTACATCTAATCCATTCTGTGGACTCTCCTGACAACATATTTATCCAAATCCATTCGTTTCCCTCCACTACCACTGCTCTCACTATCTTCTCACACACCAACTTCTTCCCTTGCTGGTCTACTGGGACGTTTCTCACCGGACCCCACTGCCCTCCACTCTTGACCTCTAACCACGCAGCAGCAACTCATGTCCTTCCCCTGCTGAAATGTAAATGTAAAGCCAGTCTATGGTCCTCCTGTTTACAGGCCTCCAGTGGCTTCCCCTTGCACTGAAAATAAAATCTAAAAGCTAGGTGACCTGGTCAGCTATTCTCAGTCTCTTACCATCATTGTTGCAGCCCACTGGCCTTCTCTCTAATATGCCAAATTGTTGTCTCACCCAAGGGTCCCTGCTCTTGCTCATCCCTTAGTCTAAAAGCTTCTTCCGTGATATTTGCACAACTGGCTCCCTCCTGTCATACTGAGATCTTGTGTTATCTTGTCAGGAAGGGTTTCCCCATGATTCAACCTGAAATAGCTACTCTGTTTTTTTTTCTCTCTCTCTCTCAAACATCACCCCGTTTAATGTCCGCCTAGCCTTTAAGTCCTCCACCCAATATTTCTTCTGTTTATGATCCATTGGCTTATGTATATTCTGTCTTTCCCACTAGAATGTAAGTTCCAGGAGAACAAGAGCTTTTGGAGCCTTACCTGTTTATCTTCGTTATAGGCAATAGGCATTCAGTAGCTTCTTGAATGAATGAATACAAAGAATTATGATTCCAAATACTTTTAATTTTAGATAGCTCTTAAGAAATAATTGTATTACTTTAACCTTTCCTTAGCTTGCAAGAAAATATGATTTTCTCATAATAGAAGATGATCCTTACTATTTTCTCCAGTTCAACAAGGTAAGTAACGATGTGAAGTTGTTTCATAATTAAAAGATAAATTATTGTAAGTTATTGCCCTGCCTTTGAGTTTAACCTGGCTGCTAATCCACTTTTACATTGGAATTTTAAAAATGATTCTTAATTTACTACCACTTCAACATTTTTAGTCTTTTAGTTTTATTATGGAATTAGTACTTTTCATTTCTTATATTACACCTCTTTCCAGAAATTACTTAGCTTAAAAATAGTATGTAGTTCTCTCTACTATACATTTGGAGAGAGAAAGTCAGGGCTAATGGTCTTCAACTCCAGATCCTAGTGCAGTCTCAGTCTCTCTCTCTCTCTCTCTCTCTCTCTCTCTCTCTCTCTCTCTCTCTCTCTTTCTCTCATCTTTTGTTAATTCTCATCTGAGGGTATTTTCTTCATTGATTTCTAGAGGGAGTGGTGGCAGGGAGGAAGGGGAAGAGAGAGAGGAATATCAATGTAAAAGATGCAATGATTGGTTGCTTTCCACACTTGCCCCCACCGAGGCCAAGGATAGAGCCTGCAACCCAAGTATGTGCCCTTGACTGGGAATCAAACCCATGACCCTTCAGTTAGGACCAATGCTTTAACCACTGAACACCACCAGCCAGGCCTCAACTCCAGTCTCTTGATAGTAGTTGACTGGCATGATGTCTGAGAAGGATTTGGAAGCTGTGTTCAAGCTGAAAGAGAAGGGCTGTGCTCAATGAGTGATGTCCATTATGGACATAGACAAGGCGTTACTGGCCGCAGAACACTTTTGCCAGTCCTGTCATCAAAGTCCTGGATAGTATCTGCAGAAGAATGGGTTTTTAAGTTTCCTTCCCACTCTATATGTATGCCATTTTCTATGCTCATTTTTTCCTCATGGACAGTAGTAGTGACACATGATCCCAATGCCTGATTTTTCAAAATCAAACACTATCTCTAGTTGCTCTCAGGGCTGCAGAGAACATATACCTGGACTTGGTTCCTTCTTTAAATCTACAGAAAAGAAAAACTCTTTATTTTCCTACATGTATTGCCTGAATGAACATCATGTCTGCCAAGCTGCATCCCACTCTCAACTGGATCATGCCCCCTTTTCTTATGTGTACCTACTTCTTAGGTAAAAACTGAAGTCAGTATTTCACGTTGACTGCATTTCTCACCCTTGGTCTCATCTTTGTATCTTTCTAGTTCTAAGAGGCAGCATTCTTTCTGTAAACAATCCTGAATGCTGCTGGTCCCCTCTGCTTATATCTTATCCAAACTAGTTTTTCTTTTTTTGTTGAGATGCATTTTATTTCAACCATCAGGCCAGCCAGGCATCACGGGGACCTTACAGGATTTCAGAACCTTGGTTCTCAGCAAGGCCCATATTTTTTTTTCTTTCTCTAACCCCTGGGGCAGATTCATAATGGATCTTGAGCAAATGAGTAAACCCTTGTGTGCATTTTTGGCAGCAAAGTCATGAAGACAGGCAGATACTAATAAAAGAACACGCATCTGTTTTTATTCCATTTGAAAGGGTTTGGATAAAGGTAATGGGAATGATGGTTGTGCTACTGTTATTTGAATCCATATCCTTTCCAGTCTCTACATGAAGGAGTTACATGGTCACTAACAGAGTTCTCAGACCAACAGTGTTTATCTTTTCCATGTCAAGCCCTGGGTACCAACGTTTCTTTCCATGGACGTTGACGGGCGTGTCATCAGAGCGGACTCTTTCTCCAAAGTTCTGTCCTCTGGGTAAGGCGCTGTGTCTCTAACTTCAGGCTGGATCTAACCAAGATAGAAACTGTGACTCAGTAGCCTTCTGTCCAAGCAATTCTCATTGAAGATGCCTGTATTCTACTTGCCTTAAAACACCAGTTAAATTATTAATATGAATATAGGCCTTTTCTCTCTCTCTCTGTCCATCTCCATCGTCAAAGGAACCTGGGCATTCATCGAAAGTTGTGGAGGAACTGGTCAGGTTTGGAGTTTCATATATGAAGGAGCACATTTAGAAATGCTTAGTCAGACTTGCATTATGTTTTAAATGTACACTTGAATTTTAAGTAAGTAGTGGTTAATTTTATCAGGATGCTTTCATTGTCTAGGTTCATTTGCCCCCAGGCCACAGCTCTCTTCCTAATGAAATGAGGAAAATGACATGGATTCATTGTTAATACAGTAGTATTGTACCTTTTCTCACTCTCTTTTTTTTATGTGTGTGCAGGTTGAGAATAGGGTTTATAACAGGACCAAAACCCTTGATAGAGAGAGTTGTTTTACACACACAAGTCTCAACATTGCACCCCAGTACTTTTACACAGGTAAGGACAATTTAGAAGTAGAAAAAAAATTTTCATTAGATAAGAATAGAAAATAGATCTTGACAAGTAAGATTGAGTTAAGGTGCCAGGGAGGGAAATCATGGATATTGAATCTCTAGTTCCAGTATGTAGTGAGTCAGCATACCTGGCACTGCAGGCGTTTACTCTTATAGACAAACTAGAGGCCTGATGCACAAAATTTGTGCAAGAGTAGGCCTTCCTTCCCCTGGCTGCTGGCACTGGCTTCCCTCTGGCACACCCGGGCTTCCCTCCAGCTGCCAGCAGGCACCCGGGACCCAGGCTTCCCTCGCAGCCCCGGCTTTGTCCAGAAGGACACCCAGAAGGATGTCCGGTCTAATGATCATATTATGCTTTTATTATTATAGATGAGAATCAAATTAATCTGGTGTTATTTTGTGGCATAGACTAAACTCCATGAGAGTTGGCTATCTTATTCCTCTGCTGTCCCTCGCATCCAGCCCAGGAACTCCATAAAAACTGTTGAACTTCACATAACGGAACTGGGCTTGATGCAGTAATATAATTTGGGCTTCTTTGTCTTAAAGTTTGTAATGAGAACAAGAATTGCAAACCTGAATAGTGATTCATTGACTTCACTGCACATGTGCTAACCTGTCCTAAAGACACTGGTTGGTATGTACTTTAATTTTTAAAAAGTTAATTTTAGAGAATGTGTAAATTTCCTCACAAGCTTTGAGAAGTTATTGGCTCTATCCCGAATGCAACCATAGAATTAGATGTTAAGGATAGAATTGCTACCTAACTGCATAGAAGAATTTATGTAGAATAGGATGTTTGTTTGATATTTTACATTCCATAATGTACTTTATCGTATTTGGGAACTTTCTCTCTCTCTCTCTCTCTCTCTCTCTCTCTCTCTCTCTCTCTCTCTGTTACTAACAAAACTTCATTATCCATTCATGACATTTAGAACTTCCATTTTAGATAGAAAATCTCCAGATATATCATGTAATTTTATATATTACACCAGTATGTGTTTTATATATTTAGAGAGGAAGTGCAGTGTGGTAATTAATGGCATGGATCTGCAGCTGGGCCCTCTGACTCGCACCCAGGCTCTGTGACGAGCTGTGTGACCTCAGGAAGGTTAACAACCCTCGTGCCTCATTTGCTCATCAGTGAAATAGAAATAATAACCTGCCTACTAGGGTCATTACAAGGTTAAATTAGCTAAACTATTTTAATGCATTACCATAGTTTTTGGCACAGCAAGTACTCTATAAATATTTGTCACTTTATTAGCATTCTTTGTTATTAACATTTATTCTAAATCACTGACTGACTAAAGCTTGGTAGGGTCAGCTTGTTCTGTTTTCTTATGGTGGTTTACATAGACTCAAGAGTGACTGGCAGAAAACACCTGGTATAGGATGAAGCATGACCCCTGTTATTGTCTCACCTCTTTCAGCTCCTGGTATCACAGCTTCTTTACCAGTGGGGACAGGAGGGCTTCCTGGCCCACATAGAGAGGTAAGGCATTTCAGTTCCCATTTTCCACATAGAAATGGACTCTGCCTTATAATTTTCGATTTTTAATTATTCCATAATAAAGGGAAAAACGTAGTGGTAAAAAGCTTACCACCAGACAAGTCAAATAAACATGCTCTATTTCCTTATATGGCATTCATTTTCATCAAGATAGAAAATGGATTCTTATAGAGCCTCTTGGTTTCTGCAGTCAGTGTACTAAATACATCTTTTTCACTGTTTTCTTCATCTAGGGTTATTGATTACTATAGGAGGCAGAAGGATGCATTACTGAAAGCTGCAGACAAGTGGTTAAGTGGTGAGTAGAACATATACCCCCGTCCTGTGATAAACAGCAGTACCTAAGTAAGTGGGTGATAAACACTGCATAGTATTGTTAATAATCCCGGGGAAAAGAAACAAGAGTCCAGGAGTATTCTTGTCAAGAAAATATTACCCTCTAAATAACCTCAGAAGGAACAGCCTGCAAACCCTGACCCATTTCTACCTAGCTGCTGCGAAGAATTTGTCCCTTAAAAAAAACAAAAGACCAATCAGTGTAATAATCAACCAGCAATAAGTTAGTTCAAGCTAAATAACATCTATACTCAAAAATTTTTAGAGTTATTTCAAAATTTTCCTCTAAATAGAAGAGGAATTGTGAAAGAAACAACATATTCTTTTTCTAGCTGGATTATCGAAAGACAAAATACTAACACAGTCTACAGAGGATTTCTCATTACAAATGACTTGCCTTTTAATCACTAACCTCATTTATTTGTCTAATACTCTCTATTGCTAATTTAATTGCAGGGTGGGTTTAGTTTTGTATTAAAAATAAGAAAGTAAAATGAATTACATGGCTTTAATTATATCATGAAAAATACCTCTGGTATGAATAACAGTAAGCAAAATATATCAATCCCTTAATACTGTCATAACTTATTTCCTGTGAAGTATTGATAAAAATATAATTATTTTTTTGATAAAGAGTACTATTCTACCATTTTATACAGTGGAGCTAAAGAAAAGGTTTTAATCAACAGCAACAAAAAGATAATTAAAGTCAAAATAATTATCCTTCCTTCTTGGTTTCTCTATCCTCATACTCAATGAAACATAAAGCCTGCAAATGAAACTGGAATTCCTGATTTTAAGTACTTCTTTTCATAATTAATTACATTCTGATAAAAACTTTAATCCATGGGACTTCTAAACTATTACATAAATGATAGCATTGATTGAAACACTGGAAGAAACTAGAAAGAGTTGAAGAATCCTCTTCTAAAATTGAAAGAGTCATATTTGGCTCAGGTATGGGTCTAACTAAAGGAAGTAGACAGACACTAGACTTCTGGTGCCACCCTAAGTCTGACTAAAATTGTAAATAGGCACACACGAGTCTCCCTCCCTGCCTTCACCCCCTTTCTCACTTTTTTTTTTAATTTTATTGAGAGAGCGAGAGACATCAATTTGTCTCCTTTTACTTATGCACTCACTGGCTGAGTATTGGTTGTGCCCTGACCAACTGAGCTACCTGACCAGGGCTTACTCACTTTTTAAAAAAATAAAACTCAGACCATCAACTTTCAGGACTCATAAAACTATATATTTTTAAACGCTATCACTGAAGGAACTTTTATGGAAATACTAGTTTATAGTCATTGCAATTATGTCATTAAATCATATGTGCTATCAAATATAGCTTCAGCAGATATTTATTCCCTTCTTCTATTTGTAGGTTTGGCAGAGTGGCATGCTCCTACTGCTGGGATGTTTTTATGGATTAAAATTAAGGGCATTTCTGATGTAAAAAAACTGATTGAAGAAAAAGCCATTAAGAAAGAGGTAAAAAGGCAGAATTAGTTTTACTGTTACTTTAATGTAATTTCTTACTTAAATAAAAATGGAGAGAGATGTTTATCCTTGCCTACCACCCCAACTCATCATGTTTTAATATCAGGTATGTTATCTCATTATTAAAATCATAATAGATTTTTGGGTTACATAATTATTATTCTGGTCTAAATTAATGGAAATATAGTCGTTGATCTCAGCTGCTGGTGGGTTTAATGGCTAAGAGCACAGTCCCTGGAGCCACACTCCTTGGGTTTGAATCCCATTTCCACCCTTTACTGGATGTGTGGCTTTGGGCAAGTTACCCTCCCTGCGTTTTAGTAATAATGAGGCTTTCTCCCTCATAATGTTGTTATGATAATTTAGTCAATATAAATAAGCACATAGACTAGTAAATGTTCAGTAGGCATTAGCCTTTAGTATTTAAAATAGACCCCCCCCCCGCAATTATGAAAGGAAACCATATTCATGGTAGCAAACTTAGAAAAATATAATGAAAATTTTTTAAATAGCTCAATTTCACCACCCAGATTTTATGACCATTTGTGGTGTATTTATATGAAGAGCCTGTATATAGCTGATATTTTGGCTACGCAATTATTTCACATGGTTAAAATTACCCAGAAAAGTTTCTATCCTGCTGTTTTTACTTCAAATTAGCCCATGATGATTTCTTCTATGTTTTTTAATTCTCCCTTTGTACTTAAATCATAAGTCTATTTAGAGTTCATTCAGGGGCATTGAGTAATCTCAGAAATCCAAGTATTTTTCTGTATAGCTTTCCAATTTGCCAAATAAATTATCCTTTCTCTATTAATTAATTCTCTCACTATGTTTATCAGTCTTTTGTAAACACTAAGATCTATTTCTAGTATCAATTTTTGTCGTGAAGCAATAGAATAAATGATACAAAAGAACAGATTGTGTTGATGGTGGCAAGTGCCCTGCTAGTACCTATGAGATGAAGCAGTCTAAAGGTTAGACCTAGCAGCTGGCTGGATTTCTGTGCTAGCCCCACTCCCTTGGGAAACTCATTCATCCTCCATCTTACTGGAGGGAAAGACTCATGCTTTATGCATTGTTCTAATCCTAGCAACAGCACACAGTAGGTACTTACTAAATATGTAACTGGTTTATTTCAAAGAAATATATTTTAGTATAACAAATTAATTTTATATTTTATTTGGTTTTCTATCAATGCCATTATCTTTAAGAACATTTAATAAGTGGCTACTTATATGTATCTCTGAGCTACATGCTCAATAATATGAAGGATATAGACTTCATATTTTATTGCACTTTCTTTCAGTCCTCTTCATTTATTCCAGATATCCTGATAAACAGCAGTACCTATATAAGTGGGTGATAAACACTGCATAGTATTGTTAGTAGTCCCAGGGAAAAGAAACAAGAGTCCAGGAGTATTCTTGTCAAGAAAATATTACCCTCTAAATAACCTCAGAAGGAACAGCCTGCAAACCCAGACCCATTTCTACCTAGCTGCTGCGAAGAATTTGTCCTGTAAAAAAAAAGACCAATCAGTCTAATAATCAACCAGCAATATTAGTTCAAGTAAATAACATCTATACTCAAAAATTTTTAGAGTCATTCAAAATTTTCCTCTAAATAGAAGAGGAATTGTGAAACAAACAATTCCTGTTGCCTGTACCTTTACTTTTTCTAAATAATCTCCAATTTTTATCACCACTGCCTTAGCTCAGACTTTGGTCATCTTGCAGAGAGATTTTTACCACTCCCTCCTTCTCGTACAGCAATTTGTTTCTAGCACATCCCAAAACTTTTCGGCTAAATTGGGAAAATGATTTTCATTTGTTATTAAGGACACAAAAACCTATCTTCTGCCTTGAAATCTCTTCCCCAGAGCGCCCCCAAATAATTCCATTCCCTACTTCTCTTACCTTAGCAGACAGTACCCAGATTTGTACCATGTAACAACAAGCAGTTACTAATACTTTTGAATATCATGATTGTACATTAACAATCTCAAAGATTTAACATAATTGACGTTTATTTCTGACTCACATAAAATTTTCAAATAACTGACCTGTAGGCAACTGTACTCCAAGCAGTGATTCAGAGACCCTGGTTCCTTCCATCTCCTTGCTCTTCAGTCTTCAACACAGAGAGTCCACATGGCTACAAAATGGAAAGAGCATGGTGGATCACACAGGGGAAGAATTTTATGGATCTGGCCTAGAAGTAGCAAACATCACTTCACATCCATGATTGGATTTAATCATGTGTCCACATCTAATTAGAAAGAGGCTGGGGAACAGAATATATTTGCTGCCCAGGGGCAGAGGAAATGTGCTTTGCCACAGTGAGCTATCTGCCACAGTGGTCCTCAAGAATCACCGTGGTTTTCACCACTGCATCTTGACACACTTACTCAACATTATTATTCCTTTGCTTTATATAGTAAATTTTTTACCTTCTTTCAGTTCCTTTCTTCCCATCTCTGGGCCTTTACACTCTGTATCATCTCCCTAAAATATTCTTCTCCTACTTTTTGCTTGGCCAACACCTTTCATTTTCCAGCTTAAAAGTCACTTCCAAATTTGATAACTTAAAAATGGATCTCATTGTTTGAACTTAGTTTTCTAGTTAGAGTAAACATTTATTCATGGTTGTTACTGTTTCTATTTTTGTAAGCTGCCCTTTGCCTATAAAAGCTAGAATTCTGGTGTTTTTCTTCTGTTTCTATGCATTCTTCTTTTTTTTTTTTAATCCTCAACTGAGGATATTTTTTCCATTGATTTTCAGACAGAGTGGAGGGGAGGGAAGAAGTGAGGGAGAGAGAGAAACATCGACATGAGAGAGACACATTAATTGGTTGCCTCCCTCATGCACCCTGACCAGGACCAGGGATCCAGCCTGAAACTGAGGTATGATGTGCCCTTGACTGGGAATGGAACCCATGACCCTTTGGTCCACAGGCCAACACTCTAACTACTGAGCCAAACTGGCCAGGGCTCTGTGCATTCTTTCTTTTTCTTTTTTCTTTTCTTTTTTTTTTTTTGTCTAAAGTTTTACATATGTCTCCTGTTTCCGCAATTGATACCCCCCACCCAGCCATTCTGCATTCTTTATATGTGAAGATGTCATATTTGCCATATTTATTGTAAACATTTTTCCAGTTCCTCTGTGTTTATTTTTGTTTATTGTATGATATACAGGATTTTTACATAAAATTATTTTTTCCTTGTGATTTAATTGCCTTTAATTTTAAAAAGTCCTTCCCCATTCTGAGATTTGATTTACCTATATTTTGTTTCAGTTTTTCTTTAATGGTATGTCCCTTATTTTCCATAAACTCTCTTAGATATTAATGATTCCTGGAAATGCTTTCTACATTGACAGCTCAGCTCCTAGCCCTTACTTTAGAGCATCCTTCTCGCTGGCTTCTCCAGAACAAATGGATATAGTAAGTACAGTATTCTCTTCAGCATAACGCTAGATACCAGTTCTAATTTGTTGTTGTTGTTAATCCTCACTTGAGGATATTTTTTCCATTGATTTTTTAGAGAGAGTAGAAAGGGAGGGAGAGGAACACATTGATATGAGAGAGATACATCTATTTGTTGTCTCCCAAACATGCCCCGATGGAGGCCAGGGATCGAACCTGCAACCCAGGTATGTGCCCTTGACCAGGAATTGAACCCACCACCCTTCAGTGCAGGGGCCGACACTCTAACCATTGAGCAACACTGGCCAGGGCTCAATTCTGTTTTTTGGTGCATGTGTTCATTTTGTGAGTTACATTATGCTTTCAGGTCTTGGGTTTCTGGGGTGGGGGGAAAGTATTAGTTGAAAAGTCATGAACTACCATAAAAAGACACATTTACTTTGTTGCTAGACTTCTATAGACAAATGAAGATACTGACTTTAATTTTTTTGTTTTCAAGAATAGTTTTCAGACCTACTAAACAATGTTCATTGATCACCAATATATTATGAAGAAAATATCTTCTCTTCCTTCATAGAATTAACATGAGCCCAAAGTGCAAATTGAGGCCAGTGTCTCTCATTGAGGAAAAAAAATATAAACAAATCAAAGGGAATAATACTCTCAAATTAATCAGAAAGTCTAGCTTTAACCAAAATAATAAGAATCAAAGAAACAAGTTCCTCAGAACTGTATGTCTGGGAATCCAAGCAGAAGACCCATAAATTGAATGGTGCCATTAACCTTAAAATGAGTTGGTACCTATCTTTGCAGATGGATTGGTTCTTTATTTATTTGCTTTCTCATGTCATTAAATATGCTTTTCATAAGTTTTATTTTTTTGTTTTGTTTCATTTTCACCCAAGGATATGTTTTTATTGATTTTTAGAGAGAGAAGAAGGGAGAGATAAAGAAAGAGAAACATTGATGTGAGAAAAACATCAATTGGCTGCCTCTGTAGGCACCCCAACCAGAGATCAAACACACAACTTAGGTATGTGCCCTGACCGAGAATCGAACCCACATATACAGGGTGATGCTCCAACTAATTGAGCCACTCGGCAAGGGTTTATATTTTTTTTATATAATAGATTTGGGCAATTTCAACTATATAGAATGTATATGCAGGTGAGAGATTACATAAAAGAATAAAATAATATGTGGTGTAGAGAAAATCGAAAGTGGTGACCTTGAGGGCCACACGAACAACAAAATAAATATCCTGGGAATCTGATATGCTTATATATATTATGACACTGACGGCATCCGACCATGATAAAACTGATGCTACTAGTAAACTTGGTTTTCATTGCCTTATCTCACCCTTAGATGGATATTCTTTGTTTGAATTTTTAACATTCTGACAAACTTTTCCTAAATAGTACCCTACTTTCATTAATTCTTATCTATTTTCTATTTTAGGCCTTCCAGAGATTAGCTGAACTTATAAAAGAATCTGTGTGAAGACATCAACTCTTCATAGTACTCATGGACTTTTTAAATAAATTCAATGTTTTAGCAGCAAGAAATGATCATTGATTAAGACTTACAGATTGTGTTTCATCAAACATGTCATATCTGTAGTCATTAACTAGACAACTTTTAAAGTGCCCTTAAATCTACCATATTGCCAAAATATATTTCTAATCCATGTATACCTTTTGATAAATTTTCAACTTGAAAAAAATTATTTTTATCATGAATTTTATTGTAAAGAACTTTGTAACTGCTTTATAATTTCCCTTAAATTTTCTTTGAAACTAACATTTGCAGTAAATTATTTTGAAAATGTAAAAATATAAGTCCAAAATGGTATGTAATGTAAACTTTTTCTATGTTTTAGGAAAATATAATAAAATCTTGTTGCAAAAATTATTAGAATTTGACCTTTATAAATGATTTCAGTAAGAATACCACAGATTTTATGTTATGCCATAAAAATCCCTTTAAAATAAAATTTTGAAACTAAACATACCTAAAGGCATCAGACTTATTAATTCCAAGTAAGGAGGAGAAATCAGGACTTAGAAAAATGTACTACATTGCTTTTTCATAATACTGCACAATTTATAAAAATATTCTTATTAGTTATGTAATTTGAATCCATTACAACCCCTAGAGGTATTTACGACATATTAATTTGATTATTTTCTTTCTCACCTTTTAAAAGGTTTACTTTTTCCATCAGATTACTAAAGTAATATACACTTATTTAAAAATTTCAAAACAAGCCAGGAAATGTAAGGAATAAAGGAAAAGCAGCCACTTATTGTCTCACCCCCCACAGAAAATTTCTGTCAGCATTTATCATTGGTCGTTTTGGATATTTTTTATACATATTCATGTACCATATAAAAGAATAGGATCTCGTTATGGTAGTGTATCATAAATACCCTGTATTTTTTAATGCCGTGTTAACAAATGATCACATTGTTTCAAGATCCAGTAATTATAAAGTTATATTTCTTAAGGAATTAGGAAATTTATGTCATCCTTTGTGTGTATAAACTTCAGTATTATAATTTTTTTTCCTGGCATCCAATTGAGATGTTATTTCTTCCTACAGTTAAAGCTCTTGAGCAAAAATCATTTCAGAGCTCAAATCAGCTGGCTCAAATCCCTTTTTCTATGACAACCAATGGTAGTTATTTAGGAGATATTGTAAAGACGCAGAACCTGGAGGATTGAGATGGAGAACCTAAGAAGAAAGTGTAACTTAGAGTTAATAAAAGTAAAACTAGCCGCCCTAACCGGTTTGGCTCAGTGGATAGAGCGTCGGCCTGCGGACTTGGGGGTCCCGGGTTTGATTCTGGCCAAGGGCGTGTGCCTTGGTTGTGGGCATATCCCCAGTGAGGGGTGTGCAGGAGGCAGCTGATGGATGTTTCTCTCCCACTGATGTTTCTAGCTCTCTATCCCTCTCCCTTCCTCTCTGTAAAAAAATCAATATATATTTTTTTAAAAAACTAGCCTTCCACTTACTTTATTCAGTTTTTAACAATAACCAAAATTGCTTAGCCTGTATTATATAAATGAGTGCCTTGTTAGTCACCAACATGGAGTAACGGATTTATAAGTTGACTTGTAATCCCCAGTATTAACCACAATCTATAGGAATCTGTTTCTTCCAAGAGAAACAGAGAGAAAGGCAGAGAACACAGGTGACGACGAGAGTGTCCCTTAATATTTATGTTTGTCCATTGGCATTACCTTCCCCTGATACTAAGAACTAGAAAACTAGGGCCTCACTTGTTGTCATTGCCATTGCAAATGTTTCCAAACTTTAAAAAAGCAATTGGGCAGTATCAAGGAACATTAAAATGTTTATGTTCTTTAACACAATGTATGAGATACTGTGGATTGACTCGGCATAAATTCTGATTTCCTTCTTGTGTCTCTGAGCACTGAAACGTGAAATACTACCTTTGCAGACTCCCTGGAAGTTCCGGGTACGGCTCAAATTCCTTCATTCAGGTGCCTGGATTCAGAACTGAGTTGAAAGGGGGTCCAGGCAGGATGCAAGCATCCTCTTGCTGGCATAGTTGAGGCAGCGTGAGTTCATAGCTAGCCGCTTCTTGGTGGCTTCTGCTTCTGCAAGAATGAAATTCTGGGGCTAGAAATTGTTCCTGGAATCTCCATCTACTTTTTCAGCCATTCCAACAACGTTGAAACCACAGAATACATGCTAATAAGCACTTTTTGCCTAAACCGGCTAGATTAGTTCTCCTTAATGGCAACTGAAGGCCATTGGGCCAGTGTGTCAGGAGTCTCCAAGACCATCCTCAAGATTGATGGTTCCCTAAAAGGACCCAGAGGATGCAGAAATTGTTGTTTTTGCAGGTACAATTTATTACAGCAAAAGGATATATTAAGATCTCAAAGGGAAAAGGTGCATGCAGCAAAGTCTGCAGGAAACCAGGTACAAGCTCCCAAGAGGCCCCTCACGGTGGAGTCACACAGGATGTCACACGTCCTTCAGCAATGATGTGTGACAACATGTGCACAGTCTTGTCAACAAGGGAAGCTCACTTGAGCCTGGTTGTCCAGAGCATTGGGGGTCAGTCGCATATGCATAACCCTGTATGACTAACCTCAGTTACTGAGCTCCAAGCCCACAGAGGGCAAGCAGGTGTTCAACATGAATCACTTCGTTAGTATAAACCACCCAGAAAAGCTATTCTAGCATGGCTCATGACCCCACACATGCAAAACACTCTTTTCAGTCAGAATATTCCAAGAACTCGGTTCCCAGGAACCAGCCAAGGGCCAGTTAGGAAACAACCTTTCTAGGGAATGTTACTGTTTGGATAACCCAGAGCTGCTGAGTTATCCTTTCCCACCCACCAGAAATCCTATGTCTAAACATTTATAATAAAGAATGACCCAAAATATGGAAGAAACCAAAAACCACAAAGGTAGTAATTATAACTTAAAATTCTCTAACATGGCCCTTTAGTTTTATCACTTAAGATTAATGTCTTTAATATAACTTTGTTGATTTCAGAGGGAAAGGGAGAGGGAGAGAGAGGAAGAAACATCAATGATGAGAGAGAATCATTGATCGACTGCCTACTTCACTATTGGGGACCGAGCCTGCATCCCGGACATATGCTCCTGACCAGGAATCGAACTGTGACCTTCTGGTTCATAGGTCAATGCTCAACCACTGAGCCACTGTGGCCAGGCTAAGAATAATTTTTTAATGCCTTAAGCAAACGAGTCACACTTGTTTCATTTGGATAAACAGAGATTCTTAAAGGCAATAGTAAAAAATATATCTGTCAGAACTAGGGGGTAACTGCCACATAATGGAAAATCAAATTGGAAGTCATAACCACACAACAGCCATCACCAATTTGAATCTGGTCAAAAATTGCATAGGTTTAATTTCCTATGGTTAGTCTATGTAGCTTTTTTATGGCAGCCATGGTCACCATTCATGGTCCCCAGTTAACTGAAGCAGCTAGAAGCAGATGGCTATTTCAAGTTGGCCTAAAACGGAACAGTTATCACTTGGCATGGCTCTTTTTTGATTTGAATTTGAGTATTTACTTGTGGACCTTGGGAATTTCCTCCCCTCTAAGTAAGAAAGTCTTTAAAGTTTCCCTAGAATACTTTTACAGCAGAGTGCATCTTCAAGTTCCTTTTTAAATGCTAACTAAATCTTCAGTGGGTAGCCATTATTAACTTTATCAAAAGTGAGTGCAATTAAAAATTTTAGAGAATCTAAAAATCTCCATGAAAATCAAATATTGGCTGAACCTCTCATTTTAACTAGTGATATGTATTTATGAAGAGTTTATGTTTCCTGAGGTCAAGAACTTCCTTCTCTGGCTAAATTGCTTTTCTTTCCTATTTCTGCCTTCAAATTGTTTAATCCCCATTTTATATCATGTACTTTTTGTGAACAGTTTAATTCTTTTTTTAACTTGTAATTTACAATTGAAATTGAGAAATGTAAATACTAACCTGAAATATGGTCATAATTTCAGCAACACTTCGTATTTCAATAGTGCCTTTGCCCAGACACTATAATAGTGTGTTCATTGGAGTCCTTGGAAAAGCAATAGAAATTAGAACCTAACAGAGCTCTAACTGTTACATGTAAGGCAGAAACTAAGAGAAAAGAAGAATATTTTTGCCTACACTTCAGGGATATGGGAACCTGATGTGAGTGTGCAGTGCTCTGGGTACCCTCCTGCTTGTGGCGGGGCAACTGTCCACCAGCCTCAGCCCCCAAAGACTTGCCACAGGGTCTTCTTTCCAAAGCTCCTGGAATCCTACCAGAGCCATCTCAAGAAGAAGGCAACAGAGTAGCAGGGCACCTATGATTCCATAGACACCTAACTACCACCCTTCCAGCAATGTAATTCATAGCAGAAAGTTAAGAAAGAAGAAGGGAGGGCAGATCTGCACACACTTGACCTGGCAACTTTAGTTCCAAGAATTTATCTTAAGGAAATAATTTCAGAACTTCCATCACAGCGTATATTAGTGAAAGAATGAAACCTTCTAGATGTTCAGCCACATCAACCTTCCTTCTAGTGCCCCTACCTGGCCCTACTTCCTTCACCTGCTAATTCCTACTCACCCTATAGGGCTCAGTTTAATTTCCACTTCCTGAAGGAACCCCGCCTTGGGCCCCAAGACAAGGTAAGGGCCTCCTGTGAGCTACTCACATAGTCCCCTATCTTTTTGTAGCATTTACCACAATAACAAGTAATTAATTGTGTAATTATTAGTTAATGTCTGCCTGTTTCCTTCTCTTCCCAGACCATAATCTTTGTGAAGACGTAAATTGTCTCCATTTTCTTTACAGCTATACCCTCAAAGTCTGTCACAGTGCTTGGCAGGTAGCAGGCTCTCCAAAAATGTGTGTTGCTATTGGATTGTTCACTCTAAATGGTGAGAGGGGGTGGGGGAAGTAATACAAACATTAAAAATAAAAATAAATAAATGGGTAAATTTTATGGTATGTGTTTGTGATACATCAATGAATAAAGATCCTTGTTATCACCTGGCCTGGTATGGCTCAGTGACTGAGCATTGACCCAGGAACCAAGAGGTCACTGGCTGATTCCTGGTCAGGGCACATGCCCAGGTTGCAGGCTTGATCCCCAGTAGGGAGCATGCAGGAGGCAGCCAATCAGTGATTCTCTCTCATCATTGATGTTTCTATCTCTCTCTCCCTCTCCCTTCCTCTATGAAATCAATAAAAAAAAATTAAATAAAGATCCTTGTTATCATGGAGCTTACATCCCAGCATGGGAGATTGACCACAGGTAATAAACATAAGTATATACACTATACAGTATGTGAAAAGGTAAAAAGGACCATGCGTGGCAGAAGAGGGTTTGGGGGTGTTAGGGAGAGGCGTGCTACAGGGAGACTTTGTTGTTGTTGTTTTTATATACATTTATAATGTTAATTTATTTCCAATTTCACACATCAGGCGAGGTGAGCTGTGTCTCAGAAGATGGAATATAAACATCTATTTGGGCCCTCATTCAAGAAGTCAATTTATTAACAGTATTAAAAGTACCTCAATATAACATGGCCTGCACATGGCTTGTGGCAGGCACCATGGCAGGTAGCAGGTTTAAGTGGGGAAGTTAACCTAATCCTTTGAGAAGGTAAGCAAAGACTCAAGAGAGGGAGCTAGTCAAGCAGGTGTTTGTGTAAGCAGCAACCCCAAAGCAGGTTTGAGCTTCACCTGTTCAGTGTGGCTGCTGCAGAGCAAGCAAGGGAGCGTGCCTTAGAAGAGAGTGGGGTGGCTGGAGAGTGTCTTATTGCCAGGGTACAGCTTTCACTCCGTGAGGGGTGGGGAGCCATCATGATTTTGACCCGAAGAGAGAGGTCTCCTGAGAGAATGGTGGCTCAGATCAAAGAGAGGGCAGAATGGGTGGTTAGGAGAGGTTAGTGTCCATAATTTTAAAAAATAGAGCCAACCGGATATCCTACGGGTTGAATGTGAGACATGAAAGAAAAAGGAATCAAAAAACAAAGCGTTGGGCTAAGCAACTGGGGAATGGCATTGACAATAACCAAGAGGAAGGCAGAGGGTGAGGCTGGTTGCAGAATTGGAGTTGAGCTTTGGACGAGTTATTTTTGAGAAGTCTAGACATCTGTGACAGTTTGTTTTCAACTCATTATCAGTAGCACTCTCTTCTGAAGCACAGCAGGTCCTCAAATAACGCTGTTTGTTCACTCACATTTTGTTATTACAGTGATGAAAAAAAATCGATGCCTGCTGGCCTGAGGCCACAGTCTGTGGAGTTTGCACAGTCTCCCCTCGTCTGCATGGATCTTCTCCAGGGTCTCTGGTTTCTTCCCACATCCCCAAGTCGCACATGTCAGTGACTGGTATGTCTTCATTGTCACCGTCTGAGTATGAGTGTGGATGGGAGTGCACCCTGCAATGGAAGGGTGCTCTGCGTGGGTCCTGCTTTGCACCCTAAGTTGCTCAGAGAGGCTCCAATCACACAAAACCCTGAACTGGAATAGCAGGTTGGAAAACTTGTTTTTATTAATCTTTCATTTACCTGCCCACATGTATCTGATAAGAGATGGGACTATATTTCCCAGAGCTCCCTTCCCCATCAAAGTCAGCCAATGAGAGGCCTGAGATTTGAAGCCCCTGTCCTCTGGAAGTTGTTAGGTTCCTGTGATTCCAGCAGCTCCATAGCTTTGCTGCTGCCTGAGAGAGTTGCGGGGTGGGGGGGTGGGGGGGTGTCCTGCAGTGCTTACTGCAGGCTAAAGCAGAAGTGACAATTCTTTTCTTGTTAATTTTTATTAAATTTATTGGGGTGACATTGGTTAATAAAATTATATAGGTTTCAGGTGTACAATTCTATAATACAGCATCTGTATATGGCATTGTATATTCACCACCCCAAGTCAAGTCTCCTTTCAAAACCATTTATGCCCCTCTACCCTCTTATACTTGCCCCCACCCCCGTTTCCCTTCGGTAATCACCATACTGTTGTCTGTGTCTATGAATCTTTGACAATTCTTTTGCCTGCCCCTCCCCCAGCCTTCTCACCATTGTTTTAACTTCCAGACCCCTTTATCCAAACCCTTCATACTCAGATGCATAGTGGGTCTTCTGATTTCCTAATTTATAAAGTATCCAGATGGAGATGTGAAGTCAGCAGTTGGGAATGTCCATTGCGAGTTTGGGAAAGAGGCCAGGGCTGGAGATGAGATTTGGGAGTCGTCAGCAAATATGGATGTTTTAACCTTGAGCTTGAATGATCACCAAATGTAGAGAGAAGTTCAAGAACTGACCTTGGAGCAAACCAACACGGACAGTCCAGTCCAGGAAAGGAGAGACCGAGTCGCCTGAGGAGGAACCAATGAGGCAGAAAGCCGGGCCAATGCAGTGCTCAGGAGAGAATCACCAACTGTGCCAAGTGCTGCTGGTGGGTGAATTAGCCAAGGGCCGAGAATTGGCTCATTGGATCACGCAAAGTGAAGGTCACTGGTGACCTAGACAAAAGAAGTTGTTTGAAGTGGAGGGGGGTTGTAATGCTGGTTGGAGTGGGTTTAAGAGACAATGGGATGGTCCTGGCCTGTGTGGCTCAGTTGGTTGAGTGTCCTTCTCTGTACCAAAAGGTTGCAGGTTTGATTTCCGGTCAGGGTACATTGATGTTTCCCTCCTCTCTTTCTCTCCCTTCCTCTCTCTCTAAAATCAATGAAAAAAAAAAACAAACATTTTTTTTAAAAAAGAGAGCGAATGGGAGGAAAAGAATTGCCCTCAGCTGTGTGCACTGCCGAAAGCACGGTGGTATACATGAAAACATGAACAAGCAATAGCTCTGGGTTGTGAGGTTACCAGTAAGGTTTTGTCTCCTGTATTTTTTTATTGATTATCTGAAATGAACATGCAATCCTTCTATAATAAGTAAAAGTTATTAGCAACATCCCTCTCTTAATGCTTCAACCACTGGCCTGTGCTGTGAGGCTGACTCTTTAGTTCCAAGGGCTCAGGTCTTAAGAAATAAAAATAGAAAGTTCTCAGGTGTGAGTGTCTGTTCCCTTGCTCCGCCTTCCCAAGAACACCAAATGAACATCTAGGCTGCTGTTCCCCAACTTCAATTACTGAGCATCAATTATTGAACATTTTGAAATTAAATGACAACTTGAAAATTCTTTTTAATAAGTAAAACAAATATTTATGGACTTGCTAAACACTACATTTAAAAAGAGGAATGCACTAGCTGGTTTGGCTCAGTGAACAGAACATTGGCCCATGAACTGAAGGGTCGGGGATTGGATTCCGGTCAAGGGCACATATCTCGGTTACAGGCTCCATCCCCAGCCCTGATTGGGGCTTGTGTGGGAGGCAACCAATCGATGTGTCTCTCTCACATCAATGTTTCTCGCTCAGTCTCTCTCCCTTCCTTCCACTCTCTCTAAAAATCAATGGAAAAATACCCTTGGGGGAAGATTAACACACACACACACACACACACACACACACGAATGTGCATGTCAAATGCTTAATTTGCACCATGAACACCATTTACTCAGGAGAGCCAGAGACCTATCCAGCTGTTAACTCCATTGAGAAAAGAGGGCTAATATGAGAAATTTCAGGCACTTGAAAATTGCAAGACCTAAAAAGATAAAAAAGGAACCTTGGGACATCCAAATGTGACATTATATATCAGCCAGGAACGTCCCCTTGTGGGGATGAAAATAGCTGGGAGATTTTTGGAAACTGCTTCTACAGAGGAGCTCTTTTCCTCATCCTGTATTCCCAGCAGCTCTCCCAGTAACTGCATGTGGTTGGCACCTACTAATATTTACTGAACTAATTACCTTACTTGCCTCTTCTTTACTGAAGTCATGATGATTACCCCCTCTTTCTGGCAAATATAAAGTTGGGTTTAATGAGCACACTAATTACAGACGAGTAAAGCTAGAGAAGTTTCTGAGGACCCATGGGGGCATTGCTCTCCAGCCTCCGGATGATTTCTGGAGGCTGTCATGCTGTGTTGATGCGCTAAGTTTCTAGTCCCTGGGATTGCAAAGTCTGTCTGGCAAGAAAGGGGGTCTTCAAAAGTGAAGAAAACAATGTACAAAATGGATTAGGCACCTGGCTGGAGTGGCTCTGTGGATTGAGTGTTGTCCCATAGACCAAGAGGTCCCGAGTTCAATTCCCAGTCAGGGCACATGCCCGGGTTGAGGGCTCCATCCCCAGTAAGGGGCGTGCAGGAGGCAACCAATCACCGATATTTCCATTTCTCTCTCCCTCTCCCTTCCTCTCTGAAATTAATAAAAATGTTTTTTAATGGGCTAGGTAATATAAATGAGGTGGAAAGTCATAGTCACACCTTGGTGAATCTTCTAACTACTGATGATAGACAAAAAGAGTAAAGCCTTCTAAGGCTAATAATAATAATGAAGCTAAGTGCTGCTCATGAATTTCCTAATTTAATGCTCAAAACAACTGGAAGCAGAATTATTACCCATATTTTAAAAATGAGGAAACTGAGGTTCTTGGGTGGCCTGAGTAATGGGTGACCCCAAGGCTGTGCTTGGAGCCAGCCAGAGGAGTGGGGGACAGTGCAGGCTGGGGTCCTACAAGGGGACACAGCAGCATTCCCAGTATGTTTGTGCAGTTTGGTCAGAAAAAGAAGATGCCGAGGAGAACAATTCTTCAGGTTTAGCAGCACTGAGCCACCTCTTGCCTACAGATATGTTCCTGGCACACAATTACCGGAGAGTAAAAGCCTAAATCAAACTTAGACTCTACAGCAGAAACTCAGAAGTATATAGCCATTGATGGTCATCAAGAGGCAAGGATAAACATGAAAGGCTTGTAGTTATGACAATTATTAGAACATTGAACTTCAATACTTTGCAACAACCTAGGAAATCTCAAAAGTCTGTATGTAGGATTGCTTCAAACTGTATTACATTCCTGTGCTGTTATGAAAATGTCCTTTATTTGAAATGTAAAATGAAGTAACAAATCTTAACCAGCAGGTGGCAGGCTTACCCCACAACTTCTATAAAAGCTTGCAGAAAGGATTATAGTACATTTTTAATTCTGAATGATAACCATTACAAAAATCCAAATATATCTTATATTTAACATAAATTGTGAATACAATGTTATTTGATAATATAATGACCTGGAGATTCATGAGTAATGTTGACTAAATCTGTTCATTTAATTAACTGCAGGAGTACAAGATAATACATTTGGGTATTGATATAAATCATCAAGACATTTCTGTACACTAGATATAAAGTACAATGTCTAAGCCATTCTAATTAATAGTATGGGGAAAGACATATGTTTAAATATTGATTTTCCTATTAAGATATTTAATATATTCTGTCTTCTTATGTGAGATCTGTATTAATTTTATATTACATACTCCTGTTTCATTTAATCCATTAAAAATGTTTTCATTCATTCTAGAGGAATATTAAAATGTATTTTTAACCTTTCCTAAAGGTTAATATGTTCTTTCAATTTGTAGAAATATTTAAAAGTACACGTCACATACTGTTCAAAGTTAAAATGGCAAATCTCATTCGATAATCATGGTAAATGTGTGTTTACTCTCAAAATATTTGCTGAGTCTAGTACAGTGAGATAACACATTGTTCATCTACTGACCTTATCTATATTAAGACAATCTCTGGTTTCACTATCCAACACAATAAGTTAACCATCATGCCCCACCCCCACAGCATGCTGGGCACTTAGAAGGAAAAGAGATGGTTCCTCCCGTCAAGGAGCACATAACCTTCTCACAGAGACAAGGCCAATAGAGTGTGATGTCCCTGGGAGCTTTCTAATATGATTACACACACATTCCCACCAAAAGGCTTACATCATCAAAGTGGAAAATGGCAGCTAGTTTGACTTTGGGGTAAGGAATGGTCAGCTGGCCACTCATTAACTCAGCTACTCTTACCACCTCACTCCACAGCCCAACCCCCATACATTCACACAACTACTCCTCAAAACTCAAGTGATTAAAACACATATCTCAGAAAAGTTTCCTGTGCCTATCGGCGTTCCTTTTAATAACAGAGCCAGAAAATGTTCAATCTACCAATGCCAGGAGTCTTATAAATGCATGGCATGATAAAAACATAAGTGTCCCGACCTGCGGGACAACAACGGGGGAACCAAGAGACACCCTAGGAGAATGAGGCAAGCAAGGGACACGAAAGAATGGAGGCAAGACAGGATTCTGATCAAGCCTCAAACTTTATTCTTACAGCGGCAGAATATATAAGGTGATAGGTACATCTCAAATGTCAGCTGATACAAATCAGGAGACAGAATGGGCCACGTTGCTGAAGGTTGCTGGTACAGAGTGCAGCGTTGGGCAGTCTGCTGGTGAGAACAGCTAAGGAAGATTGCCCATGGTGAGAAAGGGGAGCTGGAGCAGGGATGGTGGGGGAGATTCAGAGAAAGAGAAAGAAAAAGAGAAGGACCACATTTGCATTGGGAAAGAAACATGAAGAAAAAAAAAAGAAGAAAAAATTTATTATGGAATATTTTGAGGACCCTTTACCTAATTTAATTTTTGAAATATGTAATATGCCCTTTATTGCCCAATGATCCCATGTGGAAAATAAGAGGGTTGCAGCCAATAATCTTCCAGGATCCTACTGGTGCTAACCTTCCGTAGTTGATTATCTTCATGTCAATCACACCTTTAGGGGCTGAACCGTGCCACCTCCCCAAATTGATCTGTTGAAATCTTCACTCCAAGTACCTCAGAATGTGACCTTATTTGGAAATAAGGTTGTTGCAGATGTAATTAGCTAAGATGAGTCACAGTGGGGTAGGGTGGGCCACTAACCCAACACGAGTGAATGTCCTTACAAAGGGGAATTTGGACAGGGACACGCACACAGAGAGAATGCCATGTGAAGGCTGGAGCTGTGCTGCGGCAAGTCAAGGAACTACCAGATGCCAGGAGTGGCTGGCACAGATCCTTCCCTACGCCTTCATAGGGAGGATGGCTCTGCTGACACCTTGATCTTGAATTTTTAGCCTCCGGAACTATGAGGCAAGTTTCTGGGTAAGCCACTCAGTTTGTGGTTCTGCTGCAATAACCCCAGCACACTAATCATACACCTCAACCAAAATTCACTGTCTTTCTCTCAATATTTTCTATGTATAAACACAGACCGTGAAATCCAGCCTAAGTAGTCAAATGCAGTCAGCACATTAGAATTGCAAATTAGGGGGAAATTGTTTCATGCAGAGGTTGTATACATTCAAAGGCTGGGTAAATCCTCCTTTGCCAATTTAAAATGAAGCATTGGCCTGCAGACTCAAGGCTCCCAGGTTCGACTCTGGTCAAGGGCATGTACCTGGGTTGCGGGCACATCCCCCAATGGGGGGTGCGCAGGAGACAGCTGATCGATGTTTCTCTCTCATTGATGTTTCTGGCTCTCTATCCCTCTCCCTTCCTCTCTGTAAAAAATCAATAAAATATATTTTTTAAAAAATAAATACATAAAATGAAGTCTGGCTGCCGATGGAGGCCAGTGACATAGCAAAAGGGACCAGATTGCAGGGTTTCGAATCATGTGGAGGGCTGGCTGCACTGCTGTTCTACCAATCAACAGCATGTGTGGGACAAACATCAGCTTAACTCTCAGTAGTCACTGCTTTCCTTGGTCACTCTCCTTGTTCCTGGTCACACAGAGCATCAGCTGGCATACGGAGCACCAGGTGTCCAGGACTGGCTGTCCCCTGACTGCTAACCTGAAAGACAATCAGTGTTCCACGCCCTGACCCATGACTCTCCATCTTCGGTGGCAGTATTGTGTTAATCTGAAACACTGTCCACATCTCTTTGTCTGGTGATTTATTTTACTGACCTCTCTATTTCCAAGAAGGACTTGAGGTGACTTAAAAACAAAAACACCTGGCCAGCACGTACATTCTGAACTGTGTGGTCTGAAATGGGCAGGGTAGTTACACATAAAGTCTGTTTGTTTGGGGTTTTGTTTGAAGAATTGAAAGACTTTCTCAGCTACCTAATGAACATGTATGCCTATCTGTGCTATTAGAAGACATGTGCTTTCAAACTCTAAAATAATAGGTTTTATCTGCCAACATTATCACATAGAGCAGATAATCAGAGGTAAACTGATCAATGTAAATGGTAAAGAAAAGGTGGGGGGAAATGTTCTCATTTCTCATTCTTATTATCTCCAGAGCACATTTGCCTTTAACAGGCTCAGTGACACAATAGAACTCCCTATGCAGGAAAACTCACTGTGGAAATGGTGCTTTCTTTCTTTGTTTGTTTGTTTCTAATTTGTTCTTGTACTAACTCTAAATATGGTAAAAACTAAAAAATATGAGATAGGAAAAAAGTAAGATAATGGACAAATATATAACAGGAAAACAAGGAGTATAAAGAACAGGAGAAATAAAATAATTGAGTGAATAAGTAATTTTTTTAATAGAGAAAAAAACATTCAAGCACTACAACTCCTTACAAATATTTACACAGAGAAATGCAATTCAAGAAAAGAGGTAGGGGTGAGGAGTAACTTCAAAGTTTTAAAATATTTTATAAATTGATTTTTTTAGAAAATTTTAAAGTAAAACAAGAATTTTGATGAGAAAATAATACTCATAGTCCTTTTCTGTAGATTCTCTGAATCATCCTAGTGTCCCCAAACAAACAACAAACAGAACTGTTTATTCAAAAGACATATATATATGCCACGGTTGCATTCTAATCACGGTTCCATATATACCACGTACAAACTACGCCATGGCAACACAGCCCACTCTGTTCCGAAAGCTGCATTAAATTGCATCTTTACAAGGAAAGCTCAGTCCTTCGTCATAGTAGCACGCCGCATTAGCATGGCACAAACGTTGGCTCCTCCTTAAATTGTTCCTTAGTTGTCCTGATGTAAGCTAATTCCTCTGTATTGGGAAACATGAGTCAGAGTAGGGATAACACTATGTACTAGACAAATGTTTTCTGGAACCATACCATCTGAGTCACTTGGGGCTGCTTTAACAAAACGCCATAGGCTGGGTGGCTTAAACAACAGACATTTCTTTCTCTTAGATCTGGAGGCTGTAAAGTCCAAGCTCAGGGTGCCAGCATGGTTAGGTTCTGGTGAGATCCCCTCTTCCTGTCTTCTCACTGGATCCTCACCTGCAGAGAGAGGATCCTTTCTTAACTCTTCTTCTAAGGGCATTAATCCCATCATGAGGGCTACATCCTCCTGACCTAACTACTCCTGATACCATCCTAATACCATCACATTGGGGGTTAGAGCTTCAACATATGGATTTTTGAGGACACAGCTCAGGCCATAGCACAGATACAGGACTAACCCAGTTTGCCTGCCCTATGAGGTCCTCTCCCATGTAAATTACTCATGTGTGCACAGCTGGCACACCAATCCAGCAGGACTCAAACCAATGGGTTTTGACTCTGCACCTCTGCTAAGATGGTACTACATGTGTCACTCAAACATGGTGGTATGCTGTATGCATTTATGTAAAAAGCTTTAAAATGAACATTTATACACCATACAGTCAGGACATTCCTACACAACACCGCAAGCACTTGAGAAAAGGACCACTGTGCCTGTTTTGTAAATGAAGAGCAAGTCAAATGGTGAGCACCCACAGGTGGCAGGAGAAAAGTATCCATGGTAGGCCAGCCAGAGGGCACTGGCAGGACTCACAGTAAGATAATGGGCAAATATATAACAGGAAAACAAGGAGTGTAAACAACGGGAGAAATAAAATAATTGAGTGAATAAGTACTTTTCTATATAGAGAACTAGAGCCCAGTGCATGAAATTCATGCACGGGTTGGGTCCCTAGTGGCCACCGGCCAGGGCCTCCCTTCCCGTGGTTGGCTGGCCTGCCCTGCCCCCCGATGGGGGGGTAAGGCTAATCGGGGGCAGGGCCGGCCGGGGGGAGAGGCTGCAGGCAGTTGGTGGGCCACCCCCGGTCGAACTCCTGGTTGAACTCTCTGTCAAGGGGACAATTTGCATATTAGGCTTTTATTATATACGATTACTCTCACTCCCAAGTAATTCAGCAGCTGGAGGTCCAGCTACTCTGCCACCATAGAATGCCGAACCTGCCAGATAGGGGTTCATTATATTCCACTCCAGGTTGTGGATATTAAATGTTATTAAATGAGAAGAGCAC